GTTCTTCAACTTTCAAAAAGATATAAACTACAGATCATCCAAGTCTATGCTCCCACAACAAGTCACCCTGATGAAGAAATAGAGGATTTTTATGATGAAATAAAACAGATGAATGGAAAAGGGAAACATTATGTAAAGATCGCCATGGGTGACTTCAATGCAAGAATTGGAAAAAAGGAAAAGAATGAAACCTCTGTTGATAAATTTGAACATGGGAAAGGAAATGAACATGGAGATATGCTTGTGGATTTTGCTGAGGCAGAAAGGTTTTACATAATGAATTCATTTTTTAAAAAGAAGTCAAGCAGAAAATGAACCTGGAGCAACCCAAACGAAGGAAAATATGAGAATGACTATATCCTATCGAACAAACGACACAACGTTGAGAACTGCAATGTTCTGAATAGATTTAATACAGGCAGTGACCATTGGCTGGTAAGATGTAGGCTTCATCTTAACAGTAGATTGGAATGAAGAAAGCTTATAAGAATAACCAAGTCTGTTGACATGAAGAATCTTAAAGAGCAACATGAAACATTCGAGATGGAACTGAAAAACAAATTCGCGGTCCTGGAAAATTTAACTGAAGAGGAAACTGACATATCAGAAACCAACAGACAGATTACCAAGATCATTATGGAAACAGCTGCTAAAATTGGAGGATATGTAATTAGAAAGACCAACAAGAAAATAACAGAAAAAACAAGACAATTGATGGACAAAAGATGGATGATGAAGAGAAGTAAAGAAGATATAACGTCAAACATTGAATACTTGGAACTCTGCAAAACAATCCAAAAATGTTTTACTGAAGACATCAGAAAGTACAATTGTGACCTTGTGAAAACAGTCCTTGAAAACAACAGGTCTGAAAAATGCAAAACAGCAATTAAGAAATGGAAGGAAACACATCTTTGCACTGAAGAAAGAAGATGGCACCATCACCAGGGATCGAGAAGAAATATTAGCAAGAGTTGAAGAATTCTACAAAAAATTATATGCCAGAGATATTTCACCAACAGTAAGAACAACATATGAGACAACAAATAAGGTACCTGAAATTTTTAACGAAGATTCTTGCAATCAGAAATATGAAGAAAGGAAAGGCACTGGGAGAGGATGGCTGAGGGAAGCTGGTGAAGCTACTGAAACTATACTTGCAAAACTCTCTACAGATTGTCTTAATTGTGGCAGAATCCCCAAAGACTGGAAAAGATCAATAATAATCTTACTTCATAAAAAGGGTGACATAGAAACCTTAGGAACTACAGGCCTATCAGTCTTCTCCTGGTGACTTATAAAATTTTCACTAAGGTACTGACAAATCGCCTACAAAAACAACTGGACCTTGCCCAATCAAGAGAACAAGCTGGATTTAGGAGTGGATATAGCACACTTGATCACATTCAAGTTGTGAGAGAGCTCATTGAAAGGTTGAACGAATACGAAATTCCACTTGCATTTGTTGACTGTGAAAAGGCTTTTGATTCTATAGCTACAACAGCAATCACTAACTCTCTAAAGGCATATGGTATCGAAGCTATGTATATCAAAATTCTTGAGAACATTTATGAAGGGGCAACTGCAAAAGTTTGCTTGCTTCAAGATACCAATGACATTAAAATTGAAAAGGGAGTGAGACAAGATGATACTATCTCCCCAAAACTTTTTACAAATGTATTAGAAAGTGTTTTTTAATCAATGAACTGGGAGAATAAAGGTGTACTGATAAATGGAGACCATCTGACCCATCTTCGATTTGCTGACAACATAGCCATTATTACAGATAGTCCTTCAGAGCTCCAGGACATGATTCAAGAACTTGCAAACAAAAGTAAAGAAGTTGGTTTAAAGATGAACAAGACGAAAATTATGTCCAACAGTTTTGTATGTGAAGAAACACTACTAGTAGATAACATGGAATTGGAAAAGGTAGATGCTTACATTTACCTGGGACAAAGAATATTAATGAATGGCAACATCAAGGAGGAAATAAACAGACATGTAAAATTTGGCTGGAGTGCTTTTGGTAGGAATAGTATAGTCTTGAAAAATCAACAGATGCCCCTGTGTCTGAAATGCAAGGTTTTTGATCAGTGTGTCTTGCCAGTTCTCACTTATGGATCAGAAACTTGGACTCTTAGAAAATCAGAGATCCAAAGATTACAGACTATCTAAAGGAACATGGAAAGGTGTATGCTTGGCATAACAAGGAGAGATCGGAAATGTATAACATGGATCAGGAAAATGACAGGAGTCACCGATATCATTGCTAGAGATAAATCCCTCAAGTGGCAGTGGGCTGGACATATTGCAAGAAGAACTGACCATCGCTGAACATCTGAAGTTCTTGATTGGATACCAAGAGATCGAAAATGACCAAGACGACGTCCTCACACTCGGTGGGTTGATGAGATCAAGAGGCATCTTGGCACAACATGGAAGCGAAGTGCTCAAAACAAAAGATTGCGGAAGAGGCTTAGGGAGACCTTCATCCTGCAGTGGATTGATAATGGTTGATGATGATGACTTCCCATATAGTTTATAGAATCTGTTGTAAAAATATAAACACTTTATTATCACATAAAAGCAGTTATTTTTGCACTTTTACAAGATATTTTATTTAACCTGTCCTACGTTGATCCCAAAAATTTTTGGGTTGATCTCATTGACCTGTGTGGGCGATCCCGAATATTTCTATGTTTACATTGGAACATTTTTGATACTAGATGTCACTTTGCATCACAATTTTTATATTAAAACGAACTTTTAAAATAAAATTTTTTTTTTGTTTTTATATTATTAAATATATATATTTTGCTTGTGAAACATAAAAAAATAATTTTTTATGATACAGTAAACACGATTATTATTTAAAAAAAAAAATTTTAGGCTTAACATCGATGAAAATTCAACATGGCGTCACAGGCAACAAATANACATTGATGAAAATTCAACATGGCGTCACAGGCAACAAATAAAAATTTCAACATCAAATAGGTTAAACAAGTTTTATATGAAGTCTTTTGGATGTTAAGGTTAGCAACTTCAATCGCATGCGGGGCTTCACAACCTATCCAACAAGGATCACTTTGTTATATAGACCAGTATTAATTATTAGTCATTGACCATCCACTCTTCCAAGAGGAAGTCAACAACTACTTTTGGTCGAATTACTTCAATTCCCTTCTGCAACAGTCTCTTCTTCCTATTGGACTCAGTAGTATAGTGACATTCGAATAATAAACTTACATATGAGGTTATTGGCAGGTACAAAATATATTTTAAGTGGTTTTCAAGGGTGCAGAGCATTATATTGCCTTTATAAGACTAGTTAGACTGAAAGCATTATATTGCCTTTATAAGACTTTATAAAGGCAATATAATGCTTTCAGTTCACTTGGGTTTCTATTGTTTTTACATTTGTATTTCTGAATTAAAAAAATGGTTTATTATGAAACTCCTACAGTTTTATTGCAGGAAAATATGATCTTGTGGTAATTTGAGCAAATACGGTTCTTTTGAAAAATTACTGCAGTTAAGAAACAAAGCAGATTATCATACCCAAGTGTTTGCAGTTTGGAGATAGGTGTATAAAAAATAACTATACCAAAGAGTCTGTTACATTTGTTTCATTTTGGAGAAAAGTGACATTAATCTTAAGGTGTTCATATTCCCTGATCTACCATAATTCACAATAGACTGGATATTAGCAGAGTGAGCATAATATTTTAGAAAAAATTGTTTTATTATTTTATCAATATGTAAGTTGAAGATAAACTTGAAATGAAATACAGGTATACCTCGACTTACGTCGTTTCGAGTTACATCGTTCCCAATTATACATCGTTTGTCAAAAAAGTATATGGAAAAATAAAAATCAAGTTTAACTCGTTTTATTCAACTTTACGTCTGTCCGTCACAAATATTGAAGTCATAATATTACTAGAAAAGCGTTTAAAGCACACAAAATCATATTAAAATATATACATTTACAAGTATGTACTGTATTTACAGTACATGCATTCGTAAATTTAGATTACTTTTTTCTGTACTATATTAAAAAATAAAATTTATTTGCTTGTAAGCTTAAAATAGATCCTTATTAACCATATATTATTAAAAATGCATTAATAAATAAAATACAGAACCGGAAATGGTAATTTATGGTTTAGCCTAGTGACAAGTAGATTCAACTTACGTCGCCTCTCCTGGAACCAATTACCGATGTAAGGTGAGGTATACCTGTATAAGGATGAAAAAGATATGAATTTAATGAAACTTATATCGTTGATGCACAAGAATAGTGACACAAGTCAAAAAATAGTTCTTCCAGAACAGCCAGTTAAAAGTTTCTTTTATTTCTGCAAGGCTTTGCCATGATCTTGGATTTTAAAAATTTTCAATCTTTTTTGGAAATAAAGATTTGAAAATTTTAAAAATTCAAGATCATGACAAAGCCTTGCAGAAATAAAAGAAACTTTTAATTAACTGGATGTTCTGGAAGAACTATTTTTTTGAGTTTTGTCACTATTCTTGTGCATCAATGATATTATGACATGGTTTTACAAGACCAAATTTTATGACATGTTTTTCTAACAATTATTGAGAGATTTATTCTAAGTTCAAGGTTAAGAGTATCAGTTTCATTCTATATAGTGTCAGGACAGTTATTTAATATCTTAATATCAGCGTAAGCCAAAATGGAGGACTAAGGAAGTAAAAGGATATTATTAATATAGTCTGCAAAATTAAAAAAGAGTAAGTCTATTTAAGACTAATCCTCGAGGACATCTAAATACAGAAGAGATACTTGAAATGTGAACTCAGATATTTTTATCTTAGATTTTAGTAATTAAATAGAAATTACTTAACCAATTTAATAGAGTATTATTAATGTCAATTTATTTGAAAATATTTGCTCTGTTATTACTTTATATGTGCATAAAGTAAATATTAAAGAAAAATACTCATTAATTATTAAACTGTTATCTTTTCAGATATATTGAGTCTGCATGAATACCTTGCTGCATCATATTGAATTGAGCAGATACATAGTTAATCAGTATTTATAGGCACTTTGCCATTTAATGAAATATAATAAAATCTTCATAATTATTATATCATGTAAGTTGCAAATCTAATTGGGCTGTTTTGTATTGAAATTCCTGAAGTGATTGATAATGAGGTAGTGATTTATTATAGTTATCATAGAAAGTTTAATTTATTTTTAAACAAAATAATTGTAAAAGTTTTAGTTAAATGAAAAATGTACTGTTAATTATGATGTAAAAATTAATATTTTATTATTTAAAAAATATTAATATAAGAAATTTTGCAACTCTTGCTTATGTATATATATATATATATTTTTTTTTTTTAGCTATACGGATTTGTATAGTTTAGTGATTTACACGCTAAATTTATTTCGTTAATGTTTTAGCATTCACTGTAAAATATTGATATTACTGACTATTAAAGTAATTATCATTACATCACTAAACATATTAACCCGTTAACGTAAAAGCGCGTCATCCAATCAAGCAAGACAGGCACACAACGTGCTTAGCACAAAAATATAGGTCTACATTGCTTGTTACGTCATCTTCAAATTTAAAATATCTCAAAAATTCCGGTCTAAAATATCNTTTTTTTTTAATTTTTGATGGGATGATATTCATGCCAAATACTGTATAGAAGGATGTAGAACTCACTGATCTCAGTGATTTCTTCATCCTTCTATTTTTAATTTAATTAATACTCTTTTAATTATGAGGTGTAAAATTATATCTGCTCTGTTTTAAAAATAAACAAAAAAATTTATATACTAAAATGGAGAAGGCACTGAGGTCGGCATTACATGTTCATCACAAAATTTATGTCAATGCCAAATAGAATATCAATAATTTATAAAGTTTTTTTTATATAAATGAAATTTTGTTTTACAAATTCACATTAAATAATTGGAAAGAATTTAAAATATACTTTTCTAAGTATATAAAAATTATATTAGTAAAACAAATATTAATAAACAATAATGAAATTATTTTTATTCAAAACTATTTCTAATTAAATTTAAAACATTCCTATGTAATTTTAGTTTTAAGAGATATGAGAATCTTTTGCATTACTTACTTGAACTGTTTGAAATTTTTAAATATATTAAAAATTAGTTAATAATCCTTTAAAAATGTTTAGAATTAAATTTGAAAAACTTCTGGCAACAAAATTCTTGAAAATGTTCAATAATCTAATTTATGTAATTTTTTAATTTTTTTTGCTGACATAAGAAATTAAGAATTTTAAATTTTTAACTGATATACCAGTTGTATTCAAATAGTAACTGTATATTATTAATAAAGTTTGAAACAATAACCACTTAAGTAGTGACTGCATCTACTATTCAAGGATTTCTTAAAATTTATTAGGGAAACAATGTAAAAGTAATAAATACCATAAACTGTGGTTAGTATTTATTTATTTATTCAACAAGTTTTAATAGAAAATGATTGTAAAACATTCACAATAGGTATAGTTTTTAATTGTTTTCTTATGACTGGTATGTAAAAAGTAAATCATTATAAAGAAAGATATCAGTTAATGTTTCATGCATAATGTGTTTAAAAATATTTTAAAATATAAGTATAAATATATAAATACTTTATTAATAACTAAGATGAAATGGATATGTTCAAAGGAAACAATAACTGCCCTCAAAATAGTAATCACAGAGAAAATGTACAGTTTATAATAGTAGATAGTAGGTCTATTTCAATAAAGATATAAATTAGTAAGTTTTGTGTAAAAAATTTCATAAAATTTTGAAAATTTTTGCTTTGTGTATCAGTTTTGTTCATATTTTATTTTTTTATAATAATAATTATTTCTTTTTATATTA